ATAGAGAAAAGTGCAAAATTATGAATGATAAAGTAAATCATACAAAGAATCTTCATAAACGAGTACTGTGAAATAATTGTAAAAGTGAAACAAACCAGTGTATACCTTAGAATTCTTGTCATGAAAGTTGCCACAAAAATAAATTAATTTTTTATTTTATGTTATATGAATATGAAAACAAAAATTCATCCCGCACCCTCAAAAAAACTTAGTTTTTATTAATGAATCAGCATTTTGTATTTAATTTCAGTATGTTTTAAGAGTAAAGCTCAAATGCTTCTACATTTTTAACCTTGAGAATATACAAAGTGAAGATGTGAAATCACTAATGATTCAAAATGTACCAGAGCTTGATTTATATTTTTCAATGAAATTTTAAAAGTAAAATAGATATTCACTAACACAGTTTATTTGTATGTTTTTGATATATGTTTGTCTGCTTTTTTGTGGGTGTAACTAAGTGGACTAGAGGATTATAGAATTATTTTATATTTATAACATTTTATTTACATCCAAAAGTGATGAAAAATTTATTAAAGTACCATATAAATTGTAATCTGGAGCTCATATATTAGCTGTATGTATTGGAATGCTGGGATTATTAATAAATTTAATTCTTATCTCTAGTTTGAGAGGCTAAAACTAGGCTACTTAGAGAATAATGTGTCCACCATCATTGAAAGTTTGAGAAACTTCCTGGAGTCAAGGATTAAAATGATGCATTACAGAGAGGGGGCTCCAATTGTGGATCTTCTTAAAAAAATTGATAGCTATCAGCAGCACTATTTTGTGAATCACAAACAAGTAATGGACACAAATGAGGTACGAACATTCTTCATTTGATTTTCATGACCATGCTTCTCTTACACAAAAGTGTTAACATTAACATACATAGTTTAATATATATAAATATATTAAATATATTCAATGTTTTGTTTTGTAATAAAATAATTGCAAGATTGAAATATCACATAATTAAAATATGCATGCACACACACACATAATATCCTGCCAAAGTTCTTTTGACAGATAGTCATATAGAATGGACTCAATAGTACATTACTTGTATGCAGAACAAATTAGGTCAGTTTTGGGAAGAAGCATTGAATCAAGTTTGATTTAAGAGACTTGACAAAGTTGTTTTAAAATAAATAAAACTTTTATTCAACAATTCCACATCTAAAAGTGGCACATCATTTACTTAGGAAATTGTGCTAATATCTCTCTCATTATTTTCAGGTTAAATATTCTACATTTGGCTTACTGGAGTTAAGATAAATAAGAGTTCAAAAAGAGAAACCAGATGGCCACAAAAAAAAAAAAAAAATTCTCAGCAGGCAGTAACTTTTTCATTAGGATAATATTCAATCCTAAGTTCTGCAAGGATTCCTTGTGTAGCATGTATCTGTGTAAGTGACTAAGGCACATTAAACAAAATTGAGAATAGAACTCAACATTTTTATCTCCACACAAGACTATCTTCTGGTAATTTCACAATAGCGTTCTTAAAAAATTATCCACTAAGCCAGCCAGGTGAGAAGAAAAACTCTTTGGCCAAGTTTTTGACTTCAAATGAAAGTATAAAATGCAGGATTAATGCTGTTCAAGTCTGGGCCCATGGTGTTAAACTACAAACATTTTGAGGCTTTATATGTATAAAGATATATCCATATTTTATATTATAGAATGCATTAGTTTATGATATCTGCATATTAACTCCTATTTTCCCTCTCCTTTCTCCTCCACGTATCAGGCTGTCCTTAGTTTCACTTTTCACATCAAACTAAAATTTTAGAACCATTTCCTAGATTGGCATAACAGAATTGTAACTGCAAGGAACATACAGACACATAATCATTTTAATATCAGAAATAAAACTAAGCATATAATACACCAATTACCATACAATAATGTAAATACAGTACTTAGGAAAGAAGAAGAAATCTGTTAATACACACTTACCTAAGTCTTAATTACAGAAGAACAATACTTTTTAATATTAAACACATAAGCAGGTAGTACACAAATATGAAAATATGTATTAATGATGAACATAAAGAATACACAGCAAAGCTGACAATTACACTAAAATGAGCTAAGTGTACTTAATCTAATATGTACACTTTATTATATACTATAATATAGGCCCATAACTTATTATGGTTTAGAAGTCACAATATGAATTTTACCACTTTTAACTTTGGTAAATTACATGAAATAAAAACAGCACATTTAACTTTTGTAAGTTATGTCCAAATTTATGTCATGTTAACTTTTCGTTAATCATACCTAGAACTTACGGACTTTGAGTTGATTGATAAAACATATGTATATATATATATATGCATATATTTCCATTTTATCATTTCTTACCCTGTATTCACACATTTTATGCACTTTCAGATTTATTACTAAGCTATTATCAAATTTTTGCATGTTCTAAGAAAAGTGCTGTATAGCCTGTATAATTCACAAAGTAAATGAGGATGACTTTATTACAAGAACACATCTAACTTTGCTCAGTCCTATCTCGTACCATAAGTAAAAGAAAACAAACATACAATTAGTAGAGTCTGTTTTTCGACCTTATAAAGTATCAGTGCAAATATTACCTACACCTTTTACATCTCACTATAAGATCACTCTTATGGTTACATAGATTTTAAGGGTAAAGTCACTTTTTTATTTTTCATGGATTATTGAAACCAATTTTTTACCAAAGTCTGTGTGTGCATGTATGTGTCCACTTATTAAAATTGGCAAACTGCTAACCAACTATCACCAATATCACCAAACCTGGCTTGAACACTTAAGGCTCCCCAGGAAGTGACATGGGGGGTGGTCTTCTTAGATATACACGATTGTTCATTTTAAGTTTAATAAGAGAGTACATTTTAGTTTATATTGTGGGAGTGTTAAAGTAAGTTATTTTTAGAAGCAATAATTATGGCAAGTTTGCTTATGTAGCTGTTCAGGAATCATTTGTTGTATAGTGCAGTAGTTGTGAATTAATGTCATGTTACTCAAACCTTCTGAATTCTTTTCGTTTCTTTAAGTGAGTACTGCTACATCATAACATCTCATAGTTTGTAAAAAGTTCTAGGCCTCAGTCAGGCAATATATATATATTGTTACAACAGCGGAAGTCACGCGACGCTGGGAGCATGCGCGCTGGAGTTTCTCGAAGGATCATGAATTATCGAGGAACCCCGCGAATGTCCGAGTGTTTGCTAGATGCCCTCATTTTTTTGATATATAAGCCTGGCGAGAAAAACCAGCGGGATCAGAAGAGATATAGATAGATTGAAGAGATAGATAATTGAGTCAAGCGAACAGTAGGCAACGTAAGTAAAGTGTGTGAATCACTGTGATTTATAGCGTGACTGTGACTGTGGAAATTCTATGTATTACAAAAAGTTGTATCGACAAAGAATAAAATAGTTTTAATCAAATAAGAACTTGTATCGCTGAAGTTTCTCGGAAAGAATTTATACCGGAAATTAACAAACAAGCAGATACACAACAATATATATGTATGTATAAGCAACCAAGGTAGTGCAAATAAGGAAGTTAGTGAAAGTGAGAAAAAATTAGTGAGAGATATAGTCAAATATATCTAAACTGTATTTGTAAGTTTAGCAATTAAGAGTGTATAGTGACGACTTTTAAAATGTAGTAATCGCAGATTGTACTGTAATAAAAGAGTAGAGAATAATAATTTGTCTTGTTAATTGGGTTCTAAAGTAACTGAGCCAGCCTGTGTGGACTTTTGACGTATAAGAGAATTATGTAAAGCTCAGGATACAACTGTAGTAACCCACGGGGTAACTTAAATGAATTTATCACTGATTGTATTGTGATAACAGAGTAGAGAAGAATAATTCATCTTGTCAGTTTGGTTCCAAAGTAACTGAACCAGTTTGTGTGAATTCTTGATGAAAAGAAGCTCTTGATACAACTGTGGTGATTAACTGTGTGACGAACATTTGTATATATATTTGACTTGTTTTTAATATATTATTTTAAAACAACTGGATTGTGTGCTGTCCATTTATTGTTGAAATTTATTGCCAACAAGTAATAAACACCTACTGTAAAGAATCATGGTCCTATAAAAATCTGACATTGATGAGCCAGCCAGGATTATACATTGGTAAATGGCAGTAGAAGACGATGTAAACAACAGTGGCAAAGAGGCCTATATAGAAACAGCTGTAGTGGTGACGAAAATATTCTAGAGGTCACATCCACACTATATAACCATGTCGACTGACTTTGATAGGTGGATAGAGAGGGGAGTGACTTGGGCTCAAAGATGGCAATCTACAAGAGTTTATTAAACAACAATAAAATTTAGAGAGAGAAGATTGTCAACAGAAGAGAAAGGAGGAGAGGCAGAGAAGAGAGGAAGAAAGAGAAAGACTGATAGAAGAACATGAGCCTGAAACACAAGCACATAAAGAGAAAGAAGAAAAGATGCCATGAGCTGTTATAAGTTAAAAGTGGTCTTCCTAAAATGCTAAGAACTCTCCGAGGAAAGTTTTAACCAGAAATTCAGAGAAGTCAAACCTGACACTGGAGAAACTGTATTTCAGTTTGTGGTACGTTTATGATGATACTTCACAAGATGGACTGATATGGCCAAGTGTGAAAATAGTTTTGAAGGAATGGCAGATCTACTAATATGTGAACAGTTCATGAACACGTGCTCAACTTACATGCCTCTGTTGCTAAAGGAGAGAGCACCAAAAGACGTGAATGAGATAATAAAGCTGGCAGAACAGTATATGAAGCCAATGGAGGGAGTATAACTAGCAAGTCCAAGAATAACCAGAAAAGTTGAAACCAGGTTGATCAGAAACAGGATACCACCAAAGGTGACAAGAACTCAATGGACAAAAGGGAAAAGAGATGCTATGGTTGTCATAAAATGAGGCATCTTGTGAATGAGTGCAAATCTGTCACCAACAAGCAACAGCAGAAATTTCAATGTAAAGTAACTGGAGCTACCTACAAAGATGGTGCTGGCAAGAAACAAGTGACTATAACCATGGATGTTGTTGCCAGAAGAAAGAGAATAGAGATAACACATCAGATTTACAGCAAGAAGGGAGTGCTATCTCCATGATTAAACAGTGCACGACTGATGGTCAGCTGAAGTTAGCAAATGGGTCAACAGTGCCAGTGATGGTTGGAGCATGTGACACACATAGAGAGGTGTTAAGAGATCACAACATGTCAGTAGGTGAAAGCTATGTCGGGGACAATAAAGTGAAAGTCGTATGATACACTAGGTGCAGTAGTGAGAACCAACCTAGTATCTGATAGTGAGATGATAGGCAAGGTACATCTTTGTGTGCTGATTGATGGGACAGTGAAGAAGTTTCCCATTAGCAAGAATATAACCATACACACCATACTGTGTTGGAGACCTAGAGACCATGTGTACAACTTGGTGATTGACAATATGCTAAGCAGTAGAAATTTGGAGGAACCAGACAGAAAGGAGGCTGACAATGCATTTGCAGTCACCACTAGAGATCAAGAAAAGAAAAACAAGCAAAACATCAAGCCCCAGCAAGTCTTGAAAGGTGACATCCCAGATGTAAATTTATGGGAACTGAAGGAAGCACAGAAGAAAAACCCTTCACTGCAGAAACCTTGGGATTGCCTAGGAGAAAGTCAAGCACAAGACAAAGGGGAAAGGGACTTATAGAATAGAGGACTGTAAGGGAATGCTGTACTGGATCTATCAAAGCAATTATACTGGGGAAGTTAAACAGATCATAGTACTAACAGAATACCACACTCAAGTGATGAAG